GTCAGGAGTTCATCCTTTATGTTGCAGAGTAGTGTTTGCAGGCATGGGTGGAGCAGTGTGTGTCACCATGCCCAGGTGAAGGGGACTTTGTCCCTGTTTCCAGTTTGCAATGGCTACAAATAAAGCCGCTTCGGACGTTCCGGGACACGTTTTTGCAGGAGCGTTGGGTTTCCATTTCTGTGGGATAAATGCCCCAGAAGTCACTTAGTTTTATAAAATGTCGGCATGTTAAATGCACAGGCATTGAGATTTATGACACTGAAAGGAAGTTCAGAGAACAGGGGACCATTCAGTCTATTCAAGGGTAGGACCAGCAGGTGGGAGCCTCCAGAGGGCTCCCGGGGAGGGCTAGGGTTGGTAGCTGGTGCTTCCGCAAGGCAAAACCTCCCATCCTTCGTCTCCAGAGCCCGAGCGGAGACAGCACACACCTCTCGGACTCCAGCTTTCCAAAAGCACCTGGGGACACCCTGGTCACAGGGAGCCAGCAGATTGACTAAGAGAAAAAGAAGTTCCAAAGTTTGCATATTCAAAAGATTGTAACCCTATTTGTACATAACAAATTATTTGAAATAAAAGCATTTTGCTACATTACAAGCATGAGAAGAGAGAAACTTAATTTTGCATGACATGCTTGTCCTATCAGACTGCACAGCAGTGTGGCCCTGAGCCACTTGTCATCCTCCCAGCTCACCACAAGATGGCACTGGCTCAGAGTGGCACCTGTCAAAAGCCAGAGCCCACCCTTCTCTCTGCTCTGCCTTTAATGCCCCAGAGATGTCCCAATTTAGAATCAGTTGGAAAAACAGTTTGCGCAGACTTTTACTTCTAAGAGTGGGCATGGCCAGTGTCCATCTAGTGCATCCGTGCTGTGCATCAGAGGGGAGCCATCCCAGTGAGGCGGGGCCTGAGGTGCCAGCTCGGAGCTTGCCCAGGTCTGGGGTGAGGTCTGGGAATCCGCATCTTTAACCAGCAGCACCAGCGCCGAGGCAAGCGCTGAGAAAGGCCGCCTTGGTCAGCCGTGGACTGCCACAACCCACTGGTGGAGAACCCCCCAACACACACTCTCTGCCATTTTTGGTTCCTTTAAAGAGAAAGGAGTTGGGATGAGAGGGAAGGTGGCCTGAGAGGCAGGGGTTGTGCAGGCTTGTGTTCAAGCAGAGCCCTGGAGTGGAGAGTGTTGGCCCTGAGCTGTGAGACAGAAAGGGCCAGGCAGAGCCTCTGCACCTTGGGAGGAACGAACTGGTGCGGGGGCGGGCCAAGGAATGGATGTGAGCCCTAAGGCAGGCAGCATGGCAGGTGTGGGAGCAAGGGGCTGCCCAGGGCCACATGGGCTCGGCCAGAGGACCCTGTGTCCCTTGGAGAATTGTGCACCAAACAGCGCACTCGCTGCATGGGGAGAGCATATGGCCCAGCAGTCCCTCCCCTGTGTGCTCCTGGTGGCACAGCATTCCAGCAGGGCTGCCTGCGACATGGAGAGGCCTTTAGTGAAAGCACTGAGCGGGGAGGACACTAGCCCTTCTGAGATGCAGACGTGACTTTGTTCCGAGGGAGGTCGGAATGGCAGGTGTGTGTGCCTGGCGCTGCCCCAGCCCTGCGGCCCTCTGCAGGCTGGCACCGTTCACATTTATCTCAACGTTACCAAAGGTCTCTTCTTTTTGTAGGCACCACTATTAGATTTTTTGATACAGATTTTTAGACAAGCTTTTGAACGCTTATATTTCTCTTACGTATTTCTCCTACTTTTAGTTCATTTATCTTTTCTGCTGGAGGACAATGTTATGGTACAGTTGAAAGGTTTGTCGTTTCCAACATGGCTGTGGCTGGATTAGGCAGGATGGCAGTTATCTAGGGGGTCTCCCACTGGGCTCCACCTCTGCGCTGACCTCCCTGCCAGTTACGCAGTTGCTGCTCCTCAAGGACAGTCAGGGCAGTCAGATGGGACCCAAGGGGCCTGGCCTGCTAGCGAGTCTGTCGTGTGCTAAGTGGTGTCTTCCTTGACTTCCACAGGACGCAATGTTTACACGAGGACTGAAGAGGAAATGTGTTGGCCACGAGGAAGACATGGAGGGAGCCCTGGCTGGCTTGAAGACCGTGTCCTCCTATAGCCTGCAGCGGCAGTCACTCCTGGATATGTCCCTGGTGAAGCTGCAGCTCTGCCACATGCTTGTGGAGCCCAACCTGTGCCGCTCAGTCCTCATTGCCAACACGGTCCGGCAGATCCAAGAGGAGATGACACAGGATGGGACGTGGCGCTCAGTGACACCCCAGGAGGCAGGGCGGGCACCACTCGACCGCTTGGTCTCTACGGAGATCCTGTGCCGCTCAGCATGGGAGCAGGAGGGGGCACGTCCTGCCCCAGGCTTGGGAGACGGCCACGTACAAGGCCCAGTTTCTGACCTTTGTCCCGTCACCTCAGCACAGGCGCCGAGGCACCCACAGAGCGGCATCTGGGAGTTGGATAGCCCTCGAGAAGACAGAGGAGGCTTTCACAAGTCACTTGATCAGATATTTGAAACGCTGGAGACTAAAAACCCTGGCTGCATGGAAGAGCTGTTCTCAGACGTGGACAGCCCTTACTATGACCTGGACACAGTACTGACAGGCATGGTGGGGGGCGCCAGGCCGGGCCCCTGTGAAGGGCTCGAAGGCTTGGCTCCAGCCACCCCAGGCCCCAGCTCCAGCTGCAAGTCTGACCTGGGCGAGCTGGACCACGTGGTGGAGATCCTGGTGGAGACCTGAGCCGGAGCCCTGAGCGCTCACAGCCGTGTCTTGATGTGTGGACACGTGAGCACTGGCTCCCTCGGAGGGTGCGCCTGCCACCAGTGGCCCAGCCTTGCTGCCCGTCTGCTGTTCTGAGAAATCCCAGGACAGTGCATCAGCAGCAGGGTCTGCAGCACCAGGCCTGTCCCACTCGCTCTTCGCCCCTGTGGAGGGCCAGGCAGACGCTATTCTGGAAGGCTTGTCGCCTCTGGGCCAGTCCTAACGTCCCCACAGCCCTGGCCCCTTGTCCCTCTTCGTGTCCCCCGCTGTAGAGGACGGTGAGCCGAGGCTGCATCACCCTCCTTTCATTTAGATGGGTGAATTTTTTACAGTTCAGTTTGATGTGTTATTTTGTCTTAAGATATATTTTTTAAACTTTTTATACTTTATCTGTTTAGATTTTTTCAGCTATTTTCTTAAAAGTATATTTTTTCTATAAACATCCTTTGCTGCTACATTAGAACTTGTATAGCCTAAGCAATTGCAGTTGGTGTTCCATTGTTTTAAGGTTTAAATAAGGGATTATTGCAGTGAGCATCACTACAGTCGGAGTCAGCAGTGTGAATGTGTCATGTTTCACTTGAAATGTGTGTGCGCGATGCTTCTCCATCTGTTCTGTGCCCGTGAGACCTGGGCGAAGATCAGGAACCGCACGCAGCTCCTACACTTTGTTGTCATTAGGAAATCTGGGAGCCACATGTTCCTGGACGTAAGCGTAAATTATGGAGGATTTTATTTATGTCTATTTATATGTAAATGCCGTTGAAAGCAAAGGTCAGATATTTGTGTGCAGATCTTGGGCACCAGTTGGTCTTCAGGGACCTCAGAGCCCCTCACTGGTGCCTTCCGACAGATGGTGTTCCTGGAGGCTCCCATCAGGGGCAGCCCAGGCACCTGCCCTGAGGGAGGAAATAGCCTTGCTGCTGGATTAGGAATGCCTGCGCTGCTCTGTTGGATTGGGGCTGTAGCTGTAGCAAAAGGTTAAGGTTAGGTTGAAGTCTAGAATGAAAGAAACCTGAATCCGTGTCATTCATGCCCCCTTGATCTGTAGTCACGGTTCCTGCCGCAGGGAGTGAGCTGCTGGTGCCTGCACCGCCTCACCCCACGTGCTTCCTGTTGCTCATGCTTTTCCTAATTTTCTTGCCCCTTAGCCAAAAAGGATTGTTTTCTTTTGTGCGTATAGCCATTCTTAAATATCAGTGATGTACACCTCACTTTATTAAAAGTATCCAGCAAACAAAATGGGAATGTGGTGTTAGTTATGACCATAGCGTAACCCTCCGGGGACCTTTCTGAAGGGTCAGCTCAGCCGTGTCACTAATGCTGCTGTGCACGGTGGGAAAGGAACTTCACTTGGCTGCATTCCATGGACGCTGGGTTGCTTTTATTTCCCCCACACAGGGTTGTGGAGCAGATTCCTTTTACCTCGTTCAGTACCTGGCTGGGGGGTCCATGTCCTCTGCCAGCCCCCTGATGTCGAAAGTTAATCCTCATGGTCTCTAGTTTAAATCGTATGTTTTATAGCAATAAACCTAAAGGACTCTTGTTTCTGCAAAGCGTTTTTATCTTTTAGAAACATTCGTTCAGCATTAGTAGTTGTGTCTGTTTTGGCAGCCTTCAAAGGTATAAACTGCTCAGAGAACGTGACTTGTGAGAGCTCTGGGGTGCTTGGTCAGAAAAGCAGACTGGATCTGTGGAAGGACCAGAGACAGGCGGGAAGATCAGAGATCAGCTGCTACGACAGGAGCGCAGCCTCCGTGAGCACCAGTGCAGTGAGCCTCGTTCCCTGGACTCGCCGTTCACCTGTGACACTGTCCGGCAAAGTCTGCCTGTTTCCGACGTGGCGCGCGGTGGCTGCGTAACTGTTTGTTTTTCCTGCCATTCCTCTACAGGTTCAGTCCATGTGTATGTGGTTTTTTGGGGGGGTTTTGTTGTTTTTGTTTTTTGACACAGTCACACTCTGTCACCCAGGCTGGAGTGCAGGGGTGCAATCTTGGCTCACCACAACCTCTGCCTCAGCCTCCCAAGTATAGGCATGCGCCACCGCCTGGCTCATTTTTGTGTTTTTAGTACAGACGGGGTTTCTGCATGTTGGTGAGGCTAGTCTTGAACCCCCAACTCAGGTGATCCGCCCACGTTGGCCTCCCAAAGTCCTGGGATTACAGGCGTGAGCCACTGTGCCTGGCTGTGTATGTGGTATTTTAAAATATGTAGGTACAAATTCACTTTAATTGGGAACATATTTTCCAAGTGTTTATTAAGTTGTTTGTAAAATGTTTATTCAGAAGCAGAAATACAAATTCCAATCACCTAAAATCTCGGCACTGTTCCCTGGGCCTGCTTCTGGCCAGACCCCGAGGGCAGCGGGCATTTTAGTTGGTGGTTTCACGGGGATGTTCCCTGCACGTGCAGGGTGCTTTGCACACAGCTTCAGAGCCCCTTCCACCTTGGAAGTGCCTGGTTTCCAGGGTGCCGCTTATTTATTAGAAGATGCGGAACAGCGTGAAGATAGTCTCCTCCCAGGGAACTGATCTTTCGGGATGACAGAGCGCGCCTTGGAGAATGCTGCCTGCTCTGCCCACAGACGCCTGAGCAGGATTTCCTCCTGGTGGGGAGGTCTCCACAGCACTGAGCCGTCATCATGGCCTGGATCCCTGCTGCGCCACAGCTGCCAGGCACCTTCTCCCAGGATGTTCATTCTTTAGTGAAGTGGGCAGGGCAGTGACAGAAGCAGGACTCGGCAGCAAACTGTGGAACAAATGCTGACATCGTGCTGGCCCTGCGGAGTCTCGGTGTAGCCGGATGAGCGGGCGAGCGGAGCGCAGGCGGGTAAGGGCTGGGGTGGGCGGGTGTCTGAGCTGCCGCACTCCGTGTGTGCATCGGTGTCTGCCTGAAGGCGGTGTTGGGATCACGTCCCTCTTCATGAACTCACAGTTGGTTTCTGGGTTGCTAGAAGTTTCCATCTGCAACCAGCGAGCCACATCCTTAACTGGGATTTTGCAGTGGCTGAGCCACGCTTTCTTGTGGTGGTGCTGTGTGTGCTGGGTCATTGCATTTACTCAGGAAGGCCCCGTGTGGAGGTGGCTGTGTCCTCAGTGCCAGCTCAGGGCTTGTAGTGGAGGCAGGGAGGGAGGGAGTTGTGATGTGTGGGTGCCTGAGGGTTCAAGGGTCATATCTCTTCCTCAATGATGAGGCTTTGCAGTATTCTCAGGACCGGCCAGCGCCGTCTGGGAGGATGTCACTGCCAAGTGCAGCCTTTGAGTGAGATGTCACCTGATGGCTCACTGCAGCTGGGGACAGTTTAAGCCCTTGGGGCTGCTGCCCCGTGCAGGCGCACCCTGCGTGGCCCATCCCTCACTCTGCCTTGCCCCTGGGAGATAAGCCCCTGCTTCTCAGGTCCGCCCCCTTGCCTCCTGCACTGGGCCCGAATGAGCCTCTGCACTGCGCAGAGGAGGCCGGCAGGGGCTGGCGGGCCTTGCAGAGTAGGCCGGGAGCAGCTCCACAGACTGCCCTAGCTGAGAACCGCTGAATGAGCTGGAGGTGCAGGTGAAGGCCGGCTTCTTGGGTAACAGTTTGGTCAGTTCCAGAGCAAGAGCTTTGAGAAAACTACAGAGAGCGGGAGTGGAAGTTCCAAGAACAGCCCCAGAAGTGGTGCGCTGAGTGCCCTGCTGGCCACGGCTACCGTGCTGTGGCTCATCCGCCTGCAGACACCAGGCTCGGGCTCTCCCTGCCACCTCCGGGGCCTCCAGGGACCCTTCAGCACCTCATCTTTTTGTGAAAAGGCCCCAGATACATAAACTGTACCCCAATCCTGGGTTGGCCTGAGGCCTCGTGACATTCCTGCAGCCCATCAGACTGGGGTGGTTAGATGGATCTGTTTGAAGGTTAGCAAGTTGCACAGGGTGGGGGTTCACAGGCCCCTGTTGGGTAGACGCCCAGAGTGGAGTTGAAAACTCCGCCACAGTCCAAAACAAAGCAACCTGGGCGGGACTGTTGGGACCATGCAGCCTCTGCCTGATGAGCGCTCCTGTGTCCTGCATGCACACCTCTCCAGGCTGTGGAGAAATCTAGCGTGCCCAGTAAACCTGCCACCCGGCTGCCCGGTGGCCACTGCCAAGGCATCCCCTTACCTGAGCTGACCCAGCAGCACAGTCAGGCCTGTGGGCTGCATTTGGTTGACAGACAGGACTTTCATTAGAGGTGGGTTCACTTCTCACTGGGGTCAACGAAGGGGCGTTCCAGGACCCTACAAAGAGCTGAGCAGGCCTGGGAACAGAGGGCACCATGGTGTGGGTCCCACCACTGATGAAGTTGGGGAGCCTGCAGGGCAAGGGCCAGGTGGGGTGTTTGCTGCCCTCAAGCTGGAGGTCTGCTCCCAGGACGCTCTCCCATCTTCACCCTGTTCTTCCAGCCCAGTCTGGTGGCCTGGCCTGTGGCAGCTGCACTGGGCCCAGGCACCCAGTAGGACCAGCCACCCACTGAGGGGCAGGAGAACAAGGAGGGGTGCCCAGCTCCAAGAGCTCAGTTGAGGCGGTGCCTCTGTCTCCTGTCCCTGGCCAGAGGCTGAGCCCATTTCAGGGACTGGCTATCCGAGTCACCCAAGCCCTGTCCCACGGTGAGACACAGGTAGGAAGCTGCTCCCTCCACCCTGGCTGCCCGCTGTGGGACTGTCTGGGTGGCATAGGAGGGTGTGCGTGTGTGTGCGCACAGGTGTGCATGTGTGCAGCTGGAGTGGGTGCTGGGGCACTCCAAAACTATCTCAAAAAAAACAAAACCACTATGTTGCCCAGGCTGGTTTTGAACTCCTGAGCTCAAGCAATTCTCCTGCCTTGGCCCCTCTTTTTGTTTTTGTTTTAAATACTTATTTAATAGGCCCTGAAGTAGCAGGTGTGGGAAAGCAGCTTCTCTTAGCTGAGGATGAGGTGTAGTGAGGAACTGCGGCCTAGGCCAGGCCCCCTGCCCTCCTAGGCTGAGGTGCAGGCCTTTCACAGTGAGTATGGCTGCACAGGATCAGGCCTGGAGCTGGTCAGCAGGGACAGCGGGCAGGAGGACAGGTGGCCTCAGAAGCACCCTCCTGGAGTAGCTCAGGAGCAGAGCCACTGCAAACGGGGCATGCCGGGGACCATCGTGACCTGCTAGGCTCCTGTGCCAAATAACAACGATGGCATCCATCCCGAGAATGAGAACAAACTTCTCCTGGCAATGAGATTCGTTCCACAGGCACTGAGAAGCAGACGTGTGTGTGTTCTGAAGGGCTCTCCAGAGTCTTCTAGATTCATTACTGGAAAACAGATGCAATTGTTAAGAGGTTAGCTCGAAGGCCTCTGATGAGGTCACCGCAGCACTGCCAAGGCACACAGCAGGCACCTGGCCTTTACCCCGAAGCTGAGACCCACAAGAGCCAAGAGGCACGTGGCTGTTAAGAACCTAAAAAGAGCGTTCCCTGCAGGAGCCCCGAGCTGTCTCGTTTATTTACCCATTTATGCTTTTATTCAAACAACACGTGCCATCCTGCAGCACCCCAGCCCCCTCCCATGCCCTCTCTGCACCTCGCACCACCTGCCCTGGCAGTGGTTTACTCACTGTCCTTACTGACTCCACCAAGGAGCAGATGCTCCATGAGGCTGGGTATTTTGCTGGTTTTGTTCACTCAAGTGCCTCGAACTGTGCTGAGTACAAACGAATGGGCAACTGTCTACTACATGCCACACGTCACTGCTGCGTGCTGCGGGGGACTGAGAGGAGTCTACTGTAAGCAGTTCACACGCCAGCAGAAAAGGGATAATAACTGCAAGGCCAGGTAGGGCGGCTCACCACCCGGCACTGTGGGAGACCGAGGAGGGCAAATCACTTGCACTCAGGAGTTTGTGACCAGCCTGAGCAACATAGCAAAACCCTGTCTCTACAAAAAATACAAAAACTAGCTGGGTGTGGTGGTGTGTGCCTGTAGTCCCAGTTCTCGGGAGGCTGAGGCAGGAGGAAGAGGTCCCAGTGAGCTGAGATCACGACACTGCACTCCAGACAACTACAGAAGGCCAGACATGTTCAACGTCAAACCATTTCCAAAAATACACCAGTGTTCAGAACACACAAACCATGCTCTATTCCACCCCCAAACTGCCATCCAGCCTTCTGTCCCACTGAGTGTCCAGCCCTGCCAAGTCCTGACACCCAGGACTCCCCATGCCCTGGGTCCACAAGTCGTGCTGCTGGGGCCGGAGACGTCGGTTCTGCCGGCAGTGGCCTCCCACACCACCAGCTTGCTGGGACCACATTCTTGGCAGTTTTCTCCAGGATCAGGCTTTGCAGAAGCACCGCATACAGAGTGCGCACTGGTCATCTGGGCAATGCTGGCTGCAGCCTTCCGGGCTCCAGGCCTGTCTTCAGGCCCCTGTGGAGTGTCCTCTGGGGCAGGTGCTGGGATAGACTCCAGTAGAGGCCACAGTGGGCCAGGGCTAGAGCCCAGAACGGCCTGTCTGTAGAGTCCTCTGAAATTCCAGGCCTGCTCAGAGACACACAAATCAGCAGGCCAACCTGGCCCTCCCCTGGCTGCTGGGAGACCCACTCCACAGACCACACCCAGAAACAGGGAAGCCAGCTCACTCCAGCCTTCACTTCCCTCCTCCCTCTAGGGCTTTGGGCCAACTTATCCCGAGTTTCTCAGGCACTGCTGCACAATCCACGAGAGCACTGTTTCTTTCTCAATGTTTAGTTCAAAGTGTTTCCCCAGAAAATGGCCATCTGCAAATGACTGTATGTATGACTTCCCCTAGGAGCCAGCAGCCCTGCAGCCAGCACTGGGAGCACACCCATGGGGCTGGGCCTGGAGCTGAGAATGGGGCTCCAGAGTGTGGAGTATTTTCTAGAACTCTGTAGCTGAGGACTACGAGGCGGCCACTGCCCACTGAGCCACGTTCCCCAGAAGGCCCCTGTACCCACTGCCCAGGCCCACCAGCCACTCGCACTGACTGCGAGTCCCCCAGCCCTCCACCAGCGCTGGCACTGAGACCCGAGGGGAGTGGGGCTCGGGTCCAGCTGCTCCAGGGACCTGGTGTGGGAGAGGATGAACAGGGCTCGGAGTGGAAGGCCACAGCTGGAGCACGCATCCTGCTGCCCTCTCCCGATAGGACCCTTGTGACCTCTAGATGGCGGGGCCTTCAGGAGAGATGGCCCTAGAAAGGCAAAAGCAAAGCCTCACACATCGACTTTTATCAAACAGAAGTAAAAACGGGGCTGCTGTACGAAACAGTTAAGCTCATTACCACAGTTTATGTACACATTCAAGGCCAGGCTCTTCACTGCTTACTTCTAGGAAATGGTCTAGGGTGGAAATGTCTTCAGCTGCCTGTTGAACTGTTATTTCCTGAAAAGCACACTTTAAAATGCTCTCAGAGCTGAGAATGGGCTGAAAAGAAACAAAAGCATAGTAAAGATAGGAGAAAGACACATCACGTTACCTTACTGAAAACAAATCATTCTGATACCCATGAAATCTGTAAGTGAGCAGACCGTTAGTGTCCCTGTCACTTGACACATTCATTCCTGAAACTCACCGCATTAGCAAAATCACACAAACCCAGAGGGCTCATGGGAAAAGCGACGTTAGGGCAAAACATCGAAACTTGGTCAGTGAGACATGAGAAAAGATGGCCACCCAATAATGTCAGCACTGTTTTCCATGTTTGGTTAAGAAATTGTATATACTGCAATAAGCACAGCACTTTACCTTGGGAAAGACAAAGGCTCACAGGCTGAGTCAGCGTGAATGGGTGCGGTCCTAACACCAGGTGTGGACGGGTGTGCTCTACGGGGCGCTGATGGCTGTCCGGGTGTGCGTATGCGACTCTCATGTGTTCCAGTGTGTCCTCAGCTCAGCTGGGGCGGTTTTCTCACTCATCTACTCTTTCCTGTGAAATTTCAACTATGCTCAAATTGTCAAATTGTTCCGTAATACGTCAGTCATGCTGGAAAACAAATCCTGTGTTCAGAACAACCATGACAGCAGACCTTACTCTATTAGAGTGGATCTTGTCAGGGTCCAGGGAAACTGACCAGTTTAGAAACGTCAGCCCTGAGAACCGCAGTATCTTTATTTCCTCACTGGTTTTACTTCTTATCTCTCATGATGGTGTTTGGGATGAACCATTTGGGAAGAAGTGGCAGAGAAAGCAGACAATGGAAGGAGGAAGAAGACCGGAAAAGAGAAGGATCAGAGGTGTCACCAGCAGTAAATACGTGACAGTCGGCTCTGAAAGAGCAGGGGGCAAGGAGCTGAGGGCTGGGACAGGGCTCCTGGACAGGTCAGATTGGGCATCACCCAATTCATTACAACAAGTTGAAATGTGATCATGTGATTTTAGAATCTCTGAGACTTTTGAACTCTGCAGATTCAGAATTCAGACATAAAGCTCCTCCCTACACGCCTTGACTCGGGGCCTGTGCAGCCTGCCAATGCGGAGTGGACAGGCCAGGGAAGGAATGGTCAGAGAGAGGGACCCAGCTCAGGTGACCCCCACCTGGCCTTGGCGTGACCCATTTCTGCAGCCTCCTCTGCCAACTCATTCCTTCCCTGGCCTCAGGATGGGACTGCCAACCACACGGCCAGGGACGAAAGCCAGGAGAGAAGCAGACCCTCCGAGGCTGTCAGCCCCTCCCTGGCCAGCACACCACAGCATTCAGGGTTGCAGGCCTCTTGGTGTGTACACCTGTCCCACTAAACATGGTGACCACAGCGCTGTAGAAATACCTCAGAAGGTGGGACAGCAGCAGTTCCTGTCACCCAAGGTCCACCCTGGCACGGTTGGTGAGAACTACACTCCTTTGGGGCAGAAGTGGTTCTCGGTGGCTGGAGTTCTGTGGGCCCCTCCAGGAGTTCCAGGGACTGCGAGAATTGTCCAGACTTAGCTGAAGATTCCCGAAAGCCTTCAAACTCCCCCCAAGTGCTGCTGTGTTCCCCAGGGTCAGGACACCGGGTAGTGCCGGTGGAACCGCCCTGACGGGGCAGGGAGTTGCTGGCTTTCCCATCCGACAGAAGGAGGTCAGGGGAGATTCGTATCCATTCCAAACTGTCATCACTCAGCCTCTCAGGTGCCACTCGGAGGGAAGCCTCCTCCTGGAAGTCACTCAAAGGCTCTTCCTCCAGCTCCTGCCTGTCTTGCATCTTGGAGTCGCCAGGCCCGATGGGCGGCTGCTCTTAAGACACGCACACCACAGTGCTGGCCGCGCAACCTTCCCCTGCCCTGGAGAGGGCCTGGGACGCGCAGGAGTGCCCCGGGCTGCCCAGTGGCTGATGGTGGAGAGTGCCCACGTGCTGCTGTGGGGCTGACACAAGCCACAGGCACGGCTCGGTCGCCCGGGAGTCCTGGCTTCCTCCTACGCGCGCCGGCGCAGAGTCCGACACAGGCGCGCGTCCCGGACCCACTGCAGGTGTGCGACGAGCGGCCCAAGGCGGGGCTCCTTCTCTGGAGAGTTGCGAGCGGGCCTGGAGCCCCACGCTGACCAGAGGAGCGGGATCCGGGCTCCCACTGGAGGCCCAAGTGGGAAGGAGGGGTACGGCGCCCGGGGGTCTCCAGAGAGTCCCTTTCGCACGCGGCCCGCAGGGCAGCCCTGGACCGCCTGGGTCTGGACAGGGTCCGAGGTGGCCGGCTGAGCGCCCAGCCCGCGGCTCGCAAGGGTCCCCACGCGTCCTAGACCCAGGACCCGCACGCACCTTCGTCGCCGCCTCGCTTGGGCCCGGCCGGGACGAGCCGGGCGAAACCTGCCACCAGCCGTCCCCTCCAGCCCACGCCGCCCTGTTGCCCGGCAACGGCGTACGCCAGCTCCGCTTCCGGCGTTCGCCGCCGTGGCGTCAGCACGCACCCGGGGCGTGACCAGCACCGACCCCGCCCTCAGGCCCCACGGCCCGGCCCCGCCCTCACTAGCTCGGCCCCGCCCTCAGGCCCCACGGCCCGGCCCCGCCCTCCCTGGCCTGGCCCCGCCCCGCCCTCCCTGGCCCCGCCCACCCCGCCCCAGGCCGCAGCCACTGCGGGTGGGGTCGGGCCTCCCCACTGGCAGATCCCTGGGCGCGCGGTCGCACGAGCTTTCTGTCCGTCCTCAGTTCGCTGCCCTCCCAGCGCATCCATCACCCGCGCACCTTCTCCCGGCGCCCCGCGGCTGAGCTCGCCGCGCCGCCTCTGTGGGTGCAGCTGAGCGACGGCCCCTCAGGACTCCAGCTCCCCCAGGCGAGGGCCAAGTCCGTCTTGCCGACTCCTGAACCCCAGAACCTCGCCTGCCCCTAACTCGTCCTCCTTCCCGGGGGAAGGAGCTGCGGGGAGGCTCCACCCCTCCCTCGCAGGCCCCACGGAGTACCCCCTCCGCTGTCATCGGCCAGCCCCCGGCAGAGCCTGGCCGGTGGACAGCCTCTCTCCAGCCACAGCGGGACTGAGGAGCTAGCCTGGCCTCTGCCAGCTCCCCTCTGGGCTTCCAGGCCTTCCGCCTTCTGCCCTCACCCCCAGACTCAAGGAGTCAACCTGACTCGTCTCCTCCCTGGCCTTCCCAGACTGGACCCATCACTGCCTCTTCTGAGTAAGAGGAGGGCCTGGCCCTGTTGAAGCCCTGAGCCAGCCACCCGCTGCCCACGCCACCCGCTGCCCACCCTGCCCACCTCCAGGCTCACATTTCTCTCACTCTGGGGCCTGGACTCTGTCCTCTCTTGAACCACTCCTTCCCCCACTGGTCCTTCTCAGCCAAGCTCCCAAAAAATTTAATATTACAAAAGGCAAGATGAGATCATTCTCTGCACCTTAGACCAGCCTCCTGTCCCACCTCCTGCAGAGCAGCCAGGCCATGCAGTATGGGAGCTCTTCCGTCAGACTGTCTGGGACTGGACCTTGGCCCGGCCACCCCAGCACCACAGTGGGTCCTAAGGATGGTGACTGGGCAGTGGTTGCATTTGTAGACCAGGCCTGAGCCTGTCTCACCAGCCTAGGGGCAGCATCCATTCCCACTGCTGCCCTCATCACTGCACTGTCCTTGCCGTCCTTGAGGCCCAGGAAGCTGGGGGTGGGGAGGCAGGAGGAGTGTTGTCCTTGTGTACAGGTGGGAAAACTGAGGCCCAGCCCCAAAGGCCTGTGTGAGAAGCAGAGCTGGGCAGGAGCTGTTCTTCTGGTTCTCTGCAATCCTCCACTCCCAGCTGGGCCTCAGCCTCCACGTGGAGAGCGTGGGGCGCACGGTTTGAGTATAAAAATGACCCATGTGGCTTGATTAGCTGGTGTGATGGCTGAACAGAGCCCCACAGAGATGTCCACATCCCAATCCCTGCAACCTGTGAATATGTGACCTTACAAGGTCAATGCCACTTTATAGATGCGCTTCAGTGAAAGGCTCTGGAAAGGAGGAGAGGAGCCTGGTGAGGAGACAGGAAGGTCGGAGTCCAAGACGAGTCGCGGATGGAAGCAGAGCCAGAGCGATACCCGGCACTAGCTCAGGACTGCAGATGCCTCTGGAGGCTGAAGGGACCAGGAAACGGGTCTCCGCTGAAGCCTCCAGAAGGCACAGCGTCCAGCCCACACCTGGAAGAGCTGGTCAGTGTGCCGCATGCTGTTTTCCACCACTGCCTTTCTGGTTTTCTTATGGCAGCAGCGGCACTGATACGCTGAGTGACCCCTTGCAACCCACTGAAAGGTGCTACCTCGGGGAAGCCAAGGTGCAGAGGAAATGGCAGAGGTGACCTTGACCTCAGGTGCCCAACCGTGGTTGCAGGAGGAGGTCGGGCAGCCCAGGTAGCTGCTAGGCCCCTTGGCTTCTTGGGCCAGCTTCTGGGCAGACCAGCCAGCTTCATGGCACAGCCTTGGGGGGCACCAGCTGAGGACATGGCTTCCAGGTTGGTGAGCAGAGCAGGGACTGCTCAAGTTGAATTGGCCCCAGGAGACGGCGTGAGAGCGTGGGTTCCCATTAAAGTCTGGGTGTGGGGGACATTAGCCATGATTCCTGAGGGGCATGGAGGGGGCAGGTGCAGTGTGGTTAGGAGGAAGAGCCCATGTGGCCCTTCCAGGACCTCTCCAGCCACCTCCCTGCACCCCTGAACCCCAGCCCTGCTCAATAAATGTGTGGGGAGCACCTTCCCTTTGCAGAGGAGCCGAGCTTCCCAACCCCAACCTCAGGAGGAGGGGGCCAGCCTGGGCCCTTTGGCTAGTGCCACCCCCCCACAGAACCCCACAGTCATCTCAGCACCTCCCAGCATCACCTGATGAGCAAGGACTGGCTGGGCAGGGGTCCCCAGAGGCACCCAGGCATCCTGCTCCTCTGCAATCCTCAGCCCCAAGTCCCTAGGGCAAGCAGGGGAGTGTCTGTCCTCGCCGCCAGCAGCAGGAACGACAGGGCATGCAGGCGGCAGTATGGGAACCTGCTGCTGCTCAGATCCCAGGCGGACTGCTGAGCCAGAGGGCTCCATGGAGACAGGGGTTGAAAGAAGCCCACCTGCATGGGACGAGGGCAGCGCCCTGACATGCCCCCACAGCCGTGTTTCCTGATCCCAGCTGTGTGGGTGCAGAGGAAGTGGACCTGGGGACAATACCCAGGCCTGAAACAGGCACCTAGCTTTGAGAGGGAGTGAGGCCATTGCAGGTCAGAAGTCAGTGTGGTCAGGCAAGAGGGGGAGGCTGGGTGGACAAGTACCCCCACCTGCTCCCAGGGGTCCTCACCATGCAAAAGACTGAGCAGGGGCAGGTGGCGGCTGAGACAGTCCTCCCTGCTCTCACCTCTCCTCACACCCCTCCATCTGGGCACGGGGCTGGGCTGCATGCAGGGCTGTGAATGGGGTGGGGCAAGGACCACGGCTCTCACCTCTCCTCACACCCCTCCATCTGGGCACGGGGCTGGGCTGCATGCAGGGCTGTGAATGGGGTGGGGCAAGGACCACGGCTCTCACCTCTCCTCACACCCCTCCATCTGGGCACGGGGCTGGGCTGCATGCAGGGCTGTGAATGGGGTGGGGCAAGGACCACGGCTCTCACCTCTCCTCACACCCCTCCATCTGGGCACGGGGCTGGGCTGCATGCAGGGCTGTGAATGGGGTGGGGCAAGGACCACGGCTCTCACCTCTCCTCACACCCCTCCATCTGGGCACAGGGCTGGGCTGCATGCAGGGCTGTGAATGGGGTGGGGCAAGGACCACGGCTCTCACCTCTCCTCACACCCCTCCATCTGGGCACGGGGCTGGGCTGCATGCAGGGCTGTGAATGGGGTGGGGCAAGGACCACGGCTCTCACCTCTCCTCACACCCCTCCATCTGGGCACGGGGCTGGGCTGCATGCAGGGCTGTGAATGGGGTGGGGCAAGGACCACGGCCGAGCTATTTTTGCTTATGTTGCTGCAGCCGCCGCAGCAAGCATCAATCATTGATGCTGTGGGCAACCCTGCCGGCGGAGGGTGGAGGCGAGCAGCCAGTCAGGCCATGGGGGCAGGGTGGCAGCTCTGTCAACGAGGCAGGGCCTGGGGGGCCTCGGCTCCTCACCCAGGTCCCACCAGGGCTTGCACCCCATGTCCTGGCACCCAGCCTCAGGAAGGCTGCGGGCAACCAGTGGGCTGGGCCAGTGTAGCCATGTCAGTGGTCCAGGGGGGAGGTAGAGGCTGCGTGCACAGGAGAGAGCATGTGACACCCTCTCCCTGGGGTGACACCTACAGCAGGTGTGGGGCCTCGTATGTGCCGGGGAGACCATGAGCTGGGCTTGTGTCCCGTGATGCTGTGTATGGGGGCATGCATTCCTGAGCCCCACTTCTGTGGTCCTCCCCAGCCAGGCATCTGTCCCCAGAGGGGAACATGGGGAGGACACTGGACCTGGGCGTGAAGACAGGAGCTCAGCCTTCAGCTGGTGGGGAGGGACTGGGATGGGGGCTGGCAGCACCCCTCACCTTTTCTCCTGCTCCCACAGCTGTGACCCCGGGCCCCGTCTGGGCTGCTGAGGCCCTGGTGGGTAGGTGCAGGGATTTTGGCTGGGCCCTAGGGAGCCAGTCCCCAGCCTCACATGGCCGCAGCCTGCCCGTTTGTGGGGCTGCACTGTCCAAGTTGCAGGCCCTCCCAGAGGCATCTGGAGTGAGAGAGCTCTCAGGGCACCAGGAGTACTGGGGTTCCCTGAGGTGGGGAAGCTCTCTGGAAAGACATCCCAAGGAGTCTGTTTCTCAGGACACTCTCAGCTTAACCCTCAAGCTGGGAGAAGACCCTAGAAGGAGGGTGGGAGGGGCAGTCCTTCGGGTTCCCAGGACCCCTGACAGTCACAGCCAGACTGCAGCCCCAGCATTCAGGGTGGGGCAGAGCCAGAGGCCACTGCAGAGACACCAGCCCTCTGTCTCAGAGTGGGCAGGAGAGGGGAGGGTGCCCCTGGGCAGAACAGGCCCTGCCCACACCTCATCCTGAATTCTGGGCCCTGAATCTGGGGCTGCAGGGGAGCACCATGCAGCTGTGCGTGTATGTGTGTCTGTGTGTGCCTACTGTGGAAGTGGACAGCTCCATCCGGGACAGAGGCAAAGTCCCTGGTCCTGGGCAGCCATGGCTGGGCTCTGGGACCATCTCTTAGCCAGGGGTGGGCAGGATCAGTGGACACAGCTTGGGGAAGGTCTCAGCCACCCCAGACTGAGGGGCAGGGCCAGGGCAAAGTCCTCCCCACACTCCCACGATGCCACACTGAACTTGTGCTCTCACTCAGCCCCCAGCGATATGGCCTTGAGGGCTCTCTCATCTTTCTGAAGGAAAACAGAGGCGGGGCAGCAGGTAGGAGCCCAGGGACAGGGACACATTGGGAGGCAGCCCCGGCCTCCCCGCCCAGGGTTCCTTCCTCACCCAGCCAGCAAAGCGGAGGGGAGTCCCCATAGCCCTGTACAGATCATGCTGCACCATAGGGTGAGGGGCCAGTTCATTTGTATGGGGGCCCAGGGGGCCACATGACATTGCCAAGGGCACACACCTAACAGGGCTGAGGACACAAAGGTGGGTGAGTGCCTGGGGCTGCCCCTTGTTCCCAGGCCCTGCAGCCAGACTGAGGCACAGAGGAGTGGCAGACCAAGCCCCCGGCAGACCTGGAAGACAGAGGCGCATGCACATGGGCATCCTAGTGGCTACCTCCCTGTGCCCAGGGAGTGACTGACTCCAGGCAGGCAGAGCAGGGTGGGTCCCTGGGGAAGGAGGTGAGTGCAGGGCCTCTGGGACCCAGGCAACACTGCTCAGCCCCGAAAGAAGGACACTGTGAGGAGGTGGGGTAAGACCCACGGGTGTCCCCGCAGGAGGGAGAAGGCCGTGCCCCATCCCGCCTGGGTTGGTGGGGAGGAGGCTGCCAGGGCCTCTTCCGGGCAGTGGCTCTGGCATCTGGCTGGCTGGCTGCTGGACGGCTGCCCGGTGGCTGCAGCGCGGCTAACGGGAACTGTCCGGAGTGAGTCATCGTATGCGGGGGGCTCACCTGGGTGCGCTGGCTGTGCCTGGCCTCCCAGTGAGCCGGAGTGTGTGCACCTGTGCATGTGTGCATTCTTGGTTGGGTGTCCTGTATGCAGGCCTGAGTGTGTCCGAGTGTATCGAGACATAGGCCAGGTGACTGGTGTCTGTGTGGTGGTGAGTTTGTGATCTTGCCTATGAGTGTGTGTCTGCATGGCCCTTCCCATACAGCCTGGCCTCTTCCCACTCCAGGAAAAGGTGTCTGTGTGCGTATGTGAGAGAGAGTGTGTGTTTGTGTGTGTCTGTGTATGCCTCTGTGTGTGTGTGTATCTGTGTGTGAGTCCTTCGGGGTGTGCCCCGCTCAGATCTACACAGGCCAGGCCTCAGCTAACTCTTAGAACTCCCTTGGGCCCCTGCCTTCCCTGTCCCCACCCCCAGATGTACCACCTCTGCGTGTGTGTGTGTCTATGTGCGTGTCTCTGTGAGTGTGTGTGCCTGTGTCTGTGTATGTCTCTGTGTATCTGTGTGTCTGAATGTCTCTGTCTATTGTGTCTGTATGCCTGTGTGTGTGTCTGTGAGCCTATGTGCCTGTGTGTGTGTCTCTGTATCTCTGTGTCTCTGTATGTGTGTCCGTGTATGTGTGTGCGTCCTTGCATCTGACCCACACCCCTGGACACTGCCAGCAGGTCCTCCTGGTGCTGGTGGTCCTCTCCTGAGACGGTTCCAGTCCTGCTTCCCCTCACAACCTCTGCAGAACTCTGCTCCTTCCCACGTGTGCCCCACTCAGGTCTGCGCCAGGCCAGGCCTCAGCTAACTCTTAGAACTCCCTTCGTCCCCTGCCCTCCCTGTCCCCACCCCCAGGTGTGCCACCTCTGTGTGGTGCCCAAGCTAGATCCCAAGGAGGCTCCCACCCTCGAACCCTGGTCCTCACCAGGTCCCCTCTGCCCCAATATCCCGAGATCCTCTCACTCCCTCGTTCAGCTGCTTCTGATTCCAGCAGTGCCCCACGGCCAACACACCTAGCCACGTGCGCAGTCTTTCCTCAGCTCTCACCAAACTCAGAAACCCTGCTTGGAGCCTTAGGTGGCACCTCCCACCCACAGGAGCCCCCCAGCAGCCTTGCTGCCCTGCCCCCGCCACTGGGCCTGACTGTGAACCCAGCCCTTTTGCCCTCACTCTCTGCGCGCAGGGTGCTCTGCTCTCTCTCCCTGCACCGCCTGGCTCATGCCTCACCCCTAAGGTCCCAGCTTACGCTGCCAGGAGCCTTCCAGGACCCCCGTTTTCCCGCCCTCAGAGCAGTGCCGCCCTGCAGAAGCCTCATCTTTGCAGGCTTGCCTGTGTCTACACCAGACCCGGAGCCCCTGGGGCAGGGCCAGTGGGGTGCTGGTCGCCGCTGTGTCCTAGGCCCCAGGCTCTTGACAAGAATCAGCAGAAAGGATGACTCTGGGCGGGGTCCTGGCTCCAGGACAGCCCCCAGCGCCAGGCGCTCCCGCCCCAGAGCCCACCCCGCCGCCCTGTCTGGGGCACCCCGTTCCCGCTGCACGCTCTCAGCCGCGTCCTCGCATCTGCCGCCCCAGCCCCTGCAGAATTCTATCCTGTCCACGTGCGTCCAGATCACCTTCGGGGGCGCTCGCGACCACCGTTGTCCCCGCAGACTGCCCCCCACCCCAGCTTGTGACTACAGTGTCTGTCTCCCCGGACTGGGAGGTGAAGACAGCGGCAAGTCCGGGAGCCTCAGTGCGGGGGTCCGGCGGTCCCTTCCTGGCAAGAGTCCAAAGTCGATCCTGCGGACGCTACGGGCGGGTCGGGGACGCGGGGCGGGGCGGGGCCTGGAAAGGAGGGCGGGGCCTGGCCAGGAGGGGCGGGGCCTCGGCGGCGGCAGCCAATGGGCTGAATGAGGCCGGCGGCACCGCCCTCGCGCGCGCTCCGCAGTGGCCGGGCCGGGCTGGGCGGACCCGGGCGGGGTCCCAGCTGAGCCGCCGGGTAGCCGGGTTGTGTCTGCAGTCCGAGGCCGGCCGCCAGCGGCAGCGCAGGCCAGCGGGGCAGAGCGCGGCTCCCGCCCGCCCTCCCGCCCGGTGCGCCGGAGCCGGGACCAGCGACTGGACGCGACGGGCCGCCCGGCCCGCACCGCCCGGCCGCCGCGATGTGCGACTGCTTCCACATGGTGCTGCCCACCTGGCCCGGAGCCCCCGGCAGCGGTGCGCCCCTCCCCGCCTGCAGCCCGCTCCCCTGGGGCGGGTGGGCTCCGCGCGGGGGCGCGCGCCGGGGCGTGTCCGGGGGCGCGCAGTGCGGGCCGTGGGGGCGGGGGCCTCGGGGACTCCGGCGGGACTCGCGCGCGGTTCTGGGCCTCCCCGGGCGCTGGGGTCTCTTCTCCCGTGCCTCGCGTTCTACCTGTCCGCGGCTCTCGGTCCCCGCTCCTCTCCCGGCCTCTGGGGCTGTCCCTGCCGCTCACTTTGTTTCTCGGTAGCTGTCTCTGTCGGTCCCTGTGTCACTCGCGGTCCCTGTCTGTCTCTCCTCGCTCCTGCCCCGCTGCTGGGATGCTGTCTGGTCGAGAAGGAACCTCCTGGGAGGTGCTACCGCGCTCTGGAGCTGGGCTGTTGTCTGCATGGGGTAGAAAGCCGACACCACCGCGACCCAGGGCATCTCACCTGCTTTAGGGGAGAGCAGCTAGGCTGGTCCGGGAGCGTGGGCTCTCGGCTTTGGTCCAGGGCTGCCAGTGTGGTCTGGGCTGCATCTACTGTGTGGCTGTGTGCGGGGTAGCCGGCTAGGTGGAGGCTGTGGCAGGGCTATGCCTGAGTTCTGGAACCTGGTGAGAGGCCTGAATGGGGTCAGAGTCAGGCCACACGGTCCTGCAGTGCTGGGCAAGGGAAAGTGGGTGCTGCCCACTGGCATGTCCCCCAGAGATGGTCATTAGCCTCCCTCTGAGCCGCAGTCTACAGAATGGGTACCTGGTGCTCTTTGTGTGTCCGTCCCCGCACTGGGCCTGGTTCCAGGGCCTGGGTGTCTCAGCATCTTGGAGGGCAGGGCCGGGGGGGGGGGCAGTCCCTTGGGCACTAGGTCTTTGCTGCTGCAGCCTGGCCACACCCAGGGCATTGGCAGCCACTGGCCAGGGGGTTGGGCTGGCCCGCACTGGCGCAGGCTGCACCCTACTCCTTGGGGAAAACAGGTCAGTGGTAACGGTGCCCACGATGCTGCAGGTGCAGAGGGGTGCCCGCGGCCTGGTCATGCCCCTCGCTGCAGCAGGTGCTTCCAAGGCCCCTCCTGTGGCCTGTCTGGTGAGCACCTAGGGTGGGAGGCTCATCTGAAGGGCTCCAGAGCTGGGATGGCCCCACAGCACCAGTTTCACGGGGTCACAGACGGGAGCCCGTGTTTGGGCTCAGCAGTGGGAGGATGATGGCCCTGGTGGGCTGGGGGCCCTCCGCCCCTAGTCTTTCACTTTGGCTGGCCCCGCCCACATCACTGCAGGTGAACCTGGTCAGCGGGAGAAGGGCGGGGCCCCAGGGACATGGGACACTACTCTGCCACCGGCTTCCCAGCACAGCCCTTCCACGCCGCTTCCTCCTCATTCTTGGGCACCCAGAGACTCCCAAGCTGCAGGGTCCAGGACCGTCTCATCCACCCGCTGTCTCCACAGAGCCTGTGCTGGCTTCATGGTTCCCAGGCAGTCCCTCCCTGTGTCCAGCCCACAGAACCATCTGCTCTTAGGGAATAAAGTCAGTGGCGCTCACTGGGACTTTGGCAGGAGAGCTGCAAGGTCAGAGCCCTTGGGAGTTCCGTCCAGTGTGCCAGTTCCCAGGCCCTCCCCAACCCTGTGGCCCAGGAATGTGCATTCCTGACAAGGACCTTGCCACCTACTGCCTTTCCCAGCCTGGATTTGGTCCAGGACTTTTCCACCTGCAGCCCCTTCTCAGCAGGCAGGCCAGAGATGGGCAGACTCTCCCCTGCTCTCGCCTTCCTTTCCTGTCCGGTCCAAACCTGCCCTCTGCCAGCAGCCCCAGGCCCAGCAAGGAGCCATCTCCTCGGCAGCTTTCGCGCCAAGGCTGCCCCCTGGTGGCCGGGCTGGGAACATCCCTCGCAGGGTGGCCTGATCTAGTGGCCCCAAGCCCGACTCCTTCACAGCCCCAGGGAAGGGGACTCTGCCTGGGTGCACCAACCCCACGGAGTGCTGCTGACTGTAACAGCAGCCAGTTCACTCCCAATGGGTGCTGGGTGTCACACCCTTGCCTACTCCAGGGGCAGGCTGGCCCCTTCCGGGAAGCCCCCTGGGAAGGAGCTGCCTCTTCCGGGAAGCCCCCTGGGTTGCTGGGCTCACTCCCAGCTGGGCCCCCGAAAGCTTGGGAGACAGGGAAACCCTCCCCTCGCCTTGGCCCCAGTCCCCGCCCTGCACCTGCTGCACCTGGCTTGGCCTGAGCACCTCCCACAACAACACCCCAAGGAAGCACCACCGTGTTGGGAAGGCCCCCAGTGCAGTGACACCATGTGAGGATGTCTGGGTGGTCTCTCCTCTGGGGTGGGGGCCATGACATGGTTGGGCTCTTTCCCAAGAGAGGTGCAAAGCAGGGCAGCTGTGGAGGTGGTCTTGCTGTTCTGTGCCTCGCTGGTGCTCTCTTCAGGGCCTTGGGGCTGCAAATGTGGGTCAGGACCTTGCATTCGGGGACAGGAATGATTGTGGCTGCCCGTGCTGCTAGCGCCATGCAGACTGGGATGCCGAGTGCCACCCTAGTATCTCCCTGACCAGGTTATCTACCCTGGGGAGGGCTGTGTATTCCCATCCTGCAGATAGGGACACTGAGGCTGGGGACAGCGAGGCCCCTGGGCTCTCAGGGGCCAGAGCAGCACATGGAGCGCTTTGCTCGGTGACCTGCTGTTCTGACAGGTCTGGCTCTGCCCTGCCCCACCAGGGAGGGTGCCGCAGGCAAAGGAGCCCCTCTGTAGCCACCTAGTGGCAGGAACGGGCACTGAGGAGCAGGCGGCACAGGGCATCCTGGACTGTCCCCCTCATCCCCCACTGAGGTGGCCTGTCAGAAGCCACCAAGAGTGATGTCATAAGTGTGTTCCTGACAGCACCGCAGCTCTTTCCCTGCTGGGGAAACTGAAGCTGGACGGCCAGGGAGAAAGGCTGGCTGCCTGCTGGCCTCTGCTCCTGCCCCAAGCCTCAGGCAGTGCCCACCTGGTGCAGCCCAGGGAAGGGGGTGGGGCTCAGAAGTGGACAGGAGAGTCAGGCCCACAGAGCATCTGGCTCCAATGTCCCAGGAGCTTGCTCCCTCCGAGCCTTCTCCATGCCCAGGCAGCTGAGTGCCACTCCCACTTGGGCTCATTGTGGCTGGGCCTACAGTGGGATTGCCTTCATTACCTTCTCTCCATTTCGCCAAGCTCTTCTGTCTTGGGCTGGGCTAGGAGCTGCCTCTTCCGGGAAGCCCCCTGGGTTGCTGGGCTCACTCCCAGCTCTCCCTCTGACCCACTCTGTGTCCTCCCTCTTGTGACACCTATGCTGAAGGTCTCTGTGTTTCAGGCAGCTGGCATCTGCTTAGCTGGGGGCTGGCTTGCCCAGGTGTGGGGAGTATGGGTGCTGGGGAGGAAAGGCCCCAAATCTCCAGCAAGTGGTGAGCACTGGCTGTCTGAGGGTCCCTGCCACCCACTGAAGGAGTAAAACGCCACACTCTTCCAGCTTGGTCTTCTGGCTGGCAGAGGCAGACCCTGCCCTCGGGGATGGTGTGAGGTGTGGGGTGACTCCCCTTCTGTCTGGCTGCTTGTCCATCCATCGATCTAGGTCTCAGAGCCAGCCACCCAGGGACCCCGGGACTGAAGGTCATACCTCAGCAGAGCAAGCATGCACCCAGTGTTCATTCAACAAACGTGAATCGCATTTCTGTGGCCAGTGCAGGCTTAGAGGGCACAGAGGGGCCAGAGAGGGCTCCCTGGAGGGAAACCGGCCCGATGGAGACTAGGACTGCTCATGAAAAGAAGCGGAGGAAGACAGGAGGAGCTTGCAGAGGCCCGGGGCGAGGTCAGGGATCTGCAAGCATTTCCACCCAGTGCCTCTGGGATGGGCTTGGGGAGGATGGAGGGCACAGCGCCAACTGCTGGAGGGAGGGCTTTGTCTTGAGGGCAACGGGGCGCTGGGGAGTCCCTAGGTCTTAGGGCAGTTTTGGTGGGAAGGAACTGCTCCATGCCCCCACGGAGGCCAGGTGAGCCTGGAGGACACACAGGGAGTACAGACCATGCTCCCTGCTCTTCTCCACCTACTCTAAGGGCCGCACTGCGAGCATCGGGGGTGTCTCCTCCGGGCTCCTGCTGCACCCAGCCTGGGCCTCCAGATTACCCTTCATTTTTCTTTTTTTGGAACCCATAGCCGGCCGGGAGCCAAGGCCTTCCTTGCTCGGATAAATATTTAATAGTCAGAAGCACTTTCTAAAATGGAAACGTGGAGCTGGGCCCAGGAGGTGGGGGGGGGAAGGGCTGGGACGCCCCCCCCCCCGCCCCGCCTCCCCACACCCCGAGAGGCCCGCAGAGGTATTTGCAGCCACCGCCCTCCCCTCCGGCTGCCCGTCCCTGCCCTGCCTGCTCTGCCGCAGAGACTTGCTGACCCAGTGTGTGCTAGTGAGGGTGGGAGTGGCCTGGGGCCTCCTCTCTGCAGAGCCCTTGGGAGGGACTCCTTCCTGCAGGGGTGGTGGTGGGAGGGTAGGCAATCGCGCAGGCTGTTCTGGGCAGGAGTCCGGAAAGGGGTCTCAAGCCACATCCCTGCCTGGACTGGACCCCACCAAGAGTATAGTCAAGCAAGGGCAGCTGGGGGTGCCCGGGACGAAGCAGGGGCAGGACACTTAGGGGAGGCTCACTGGGCTGTGTCCGTGTGAACCCTGAGGCTGGAGGGGCTGTTGGGGTGCTGCCTGGGTGGGCGGGGGGCCCCCGTGACTCAGCCCCACCCCTTTGTTTATGGCTGCAGCCCCCGGTGCTCGGTGCTCGGCCTGCTCCTGCTGCCTGGCAGGCCTGGCTCCTGGGTGAGCCAGCACCGTGGGCTCCTTGGTGACACACGCCCTGAGAATGCCGAGCTTCACGCCTTGGCCTTCTGCCGGCTGATTCAACATCCGCTGCCCTCTGCCCTGCCCCGCCCCGCCAGCAGCCAAGTTCCCATGGCAACTCCTAGGTGGTCCTGGGTCCTGGCAGCTCTGAGCCGGGACTGGCTGTGCAGGGCACATCA